TCTCTTTATCACTCTCTCTGCCTCTCTAAATATATGTCTATGTCGCCCCCTGTCGCTCTCTGTTTTTGTTTCTCTCTCTCTCTCTCTCTCCCCTTCTGTCTCTCTCTCTCTCTTTCTTTCTCCTTCTCTCCCTCTCTCTCTCGCATTGTCTCTCTCTCTCTCGTTCTCACTTTCCATCCCTTTCGCTCTATCTCTCTTTCTCGTCCTCTTTGTTCATCTCTCAATTTCTCTCTCTTTCGCTCTCTTTCTCTCTCTTTCTCTCTCTCTCCCTCTCTCTCTCTCTCCCTCTCTCTCTCTCTCTCCCTCTCTCTCTCTCTCTTTTTCTCTTTCTCTCTATATATAACTAAATATTACCCAATCAATGCTTGCACTGAAAGGATCTTAGTGGAGGTTGAAAGATTTGGCGAACATTTCCCGCCGATGTTGGTCGCACGCTGGGTTCCCGGGTTCCCGGTTCTGGGTTCCCGGGCTCCCGGTTCCCAGGCCGAGTTCGGTGGGCGGCGAGGTTCCCAGGTTCCCGGGTTCCTCGTCGATCTTCTGATCGATCGGTCTCATTATCGATCTCATTTCCCACCTCTCTATCGATCTCACAATCGATCTCACAATCGATCTCGCAAACACTCTCACTAGAGATCGCAGGAGCGATCTCGCGATCGAACTCCCGATGAATATCATTGAATCGATTTCACTCTCGGTCTCACGATCGACCTTACAATCGTCCTCTATCGATTCCACGATCGATATCATTATCGATATCACAATCGGTCTCAATATTCATATGAAAAATTCAAACCATCCACGGATATCGATTTAGATATGTATACATACATACATAGACATATGTATATCGCTCCCTCTCCCTCTCCATACCCTTCCCGGCGACTAGAGTGAGCCCCACTTGCTTAGACCGCCTAGGGGCAAGAAGAGCGAGCGGGAGAAACGTCCGACAAGAGCCAGCGCAGATGAGAGCAGCGGAAGCACAACCATGACTGATGAAGAAAGAAGAGCGGAAAGCAGGTCGACAAGAGCAAGCAGAGAGGCACGCACTCCAGCCTACCCAACGGGCGGTGTCCACATGGCGGAGCTCCTATATAGAAGTTCGAAGGGGGCCCGCCATAATTTGTCACTCACAGACTGGGCTGCGATCCACCCCGCCAGTGAGCCGCGACAAGGCCCCCTCCCCAAATCAGAAAAACGCAACCGGGGGCGGGAGCTCCAGATGGGGATCAGGCTCGGACCAGGCCTCAGTATCACTCGGGAGCCTCCCCGCCCCCAGTGCTGTGAGGAATCTCTCCCCATGCCCCGAGATCTTCTCAAGGCAGGGCATAGAAAGCTCAATAAACGTGTTAGCTGCATAGCCGCCACACCCACAGCACCAGAAGACGCCCCGAAACCTCTGGGGGCGCCTGTAGAACGGGTGGATCCTCGCAGGGAGCCCTGGACACTCCGATCGGAGCCAGTCCTCCGCTGCCCCCGACGGGGCCGCGAGGCATCTGGAGCACCTGAGAGGTTTGCCAGAACTGTCCACCAAACAATGGGACATCTAGCTCTAGCTTGGCAAGCCTCGCCGCTGGCTCGCACGCTCCCTGTCCTCAGCGATGCTAGCACCGCAAATCTGGGCTGCGTCCGTGGCTATGTGGTGGGAGACCGTCAAAATGTGCTCCTGGACTCTTCTACTGAGAGTGTCGACCCGGAGCACTTCTGCGATGGCCCGGTCGGGGAGCTGGGCCTCTCTGGCGCCTTCCCCCGCAGGCGTGCCCGCAACACAATTAGGCGCCCAAAACCCGAAGCGGCTAAGACGAACTAGCACAACATCCGAGGCAGATTCACGAGCCTTAATTCTGACGGCCCTCACGCGACGCCCAACACACCCCTGCCAGAACATGCCCCAGAACGCGGGGTTCTGACCGCGGCGAAAGCGGGGGCCCGAATTAATCCCACAGACCACAGAACCATTGTCGCCGACAAGCATAATATCACCTTCCGTCAGCTGGGCGATGCGATAGCAAGCCCACAACTCTGACAAAGGAATTGTCTGCTTGTAAGCGGGGAGAGGCCCCTCGGCCCATCCCAGAACCCCTTCCTAGGAAATAAGCAGCCCCCCGCCCGCACCTCCGAAGCCTGGGGCCAGCGGAGCAAGGGCCGCTAGACCCATCGTCTCCGACGTAGGCCCCAGGGGGGGCGGGGGGGGGGCGCAGCTTTTCTCCTTGCAGGGAGGGGGGCAGCGTTTCCACCCCCTGGGTCTCCAGGTGCTGGACGTTAAAGGCCCAGGCCAGGGGCGCGAGGCCACGGAGCCAGAAGCGCGGTTCATCCTGGCACCCCTCGCGCGCGCCGCCCTCGGGGACCCCGCTGCAAGCCCTCCTCAGGCAGCTCGAAGTTGCAGCGGCGCTCCCAGATCTGGTGGAAAAGAATATCTTCACACTCTTGGCATCTGGGGCGCAACTGGGAACTCCAAGCTCCTAAGCTGGGCGGGGCGCTGTGGAGCCAGGCCTGGTCGGCT